TCCCAGCCCAGAAAGGCAAACCCTCCTCCTGCCCCACACCGTGCACTCAAGCGCAGGGCAGGAGGAGCTCATTCCTATGTCTCAAAACCAAGGCATGCACACCACCGAGCCTAAGGGAGCCCTTTCCTGCCCAGCCTCTTCTCCAGACATTGCCCATAAGAGATTTAGAGTTGAATAAGGAATATTTCCAGGCACTCGGAAGTGTAGATGGGCCACATGGTCGGAGGCAAGGATGCGATAACATACCAGCAAACATCATCATATGCTGTAAATTTGTTCCAATCTTATTTCTTCTTCCCAAATTCAGTAAAAATGACAGTGGGTAAATATTGGCAGCTCTTCCTAGGAAGATAGCAAGCTGTATTTGCACACGTTAAGGAAATTGCTCTTTGTATCTCTCCCATCGCATCCCACCTCTGCACACAGAGCCAGTTTTTGCTGCCTGACGGTAACACTGGGGAGTCTCAGGAACACCGGTCCTCTGGATGAAAAGATAATAACCCAGCTCCAAGTGCTACAGCAATGGGGGAAAAGCATGCTACTGCCTCACCAGAGCAAAGCACACATTGCAATTCAGGAATATCATACAGAGACAAGCACAAATAAACAAGGGAAATGATGAGAGGGCAGGTTAGACGGGTGAGAGGAGAGAAAACCCACCATTTCCCACTGTACGCTCTCCCCTACCGGGTCCGTTTTCCACCCCAAGAATTATTTGTCCTCTGCGAAGCTCAAGTTATCACAGCTACCACAACCCCTCTGACATTCCTTGGCACGCCACACTTCACAGCTGGGTTTGAAGCTTTAAGCCAAGTCCCGTTCCCAAAGATTATTCAGCAAAATGAAAGTAGCAGCAGTTGAGAAGGAAAAAAAAAACCCTAATACTCTTTCTGTTTTCATAGCCTGCGAGATACAAGAATCACCAGCCCCTTCATATTGCTTTTTATCTTTGTAGCTGTGTCTCTTAATACCAGCACCCAGATGGCAAAAATAATCTTGGAGCCAGTATTCAGCGCAGCCTTGAATAATATGGAAAATGCTTCCAGCTTTTATGTTCTTTCCTGAACATCATGAATTTGCATAAGAGACGTATTTCATGATCTCTCTCATGAATGAGCTATTTCATCAGCCCGTTAGCCAGTTCTTATTGAAGAGGCACAGCACAGCACAAAATTTCAACCTAACCACCCAAACGGCATTTCCCTGCTCTTCACTCCCTTTACCCCACTGCAGCCCTGCAAAAGCTCACTGGGGAAATTCAGCAGACCCCGCTGCAAACCCATGCGCCAGCACTGGCAAAGATAACAACATTTTATTTATTGGTATAAACCTGCTTCATTGCAACGGGTGAAAATAATTCTGCACATCTGAACTGGCTTCCCTGTGATATGAAAAAAATTCCTTCAAAATCCTTGTTTTTCTGAGACGTACCAGGGCTGATAGCTTGTTTCCATTAGCATCAGCCTGCAGAAGGGGAAATCCTTTCTCATTACATCATTCAGAGGCATCTACTGTAGCTTTAACTGTGCTATTTGACAAAAGAAAAAGCTTTTTTCAGGGTCAACCAAATGGAATAGCAGAGAAAAGAGGAAATAAACGGCTATACCAGGCGGTCCCCATTTGCAAAGCCACTCCTGGTGCCACGCTGCCACATGACGAAGCCTGGCGCTTCAGCACCACGTTCACATCAAGCGCCGAGTCCCTGCAGCAGCTGATTAGAATGCCCAGGAAAGGAGTCAAGACAGGGGGAAGAAAAAAAACAGAAAAGCTGGGAAAAGAACTCCATCTTCTTAAAATAACCAGCAAAGGCACCACTACACGGGAGAAATCCCCTTTTAAAAATAAAACTAAACTGACTGAAAAAAAACCCCACACATTTGAATGAAAAACACAAGTGGGAAATGAGGCACCTCTCCCTTTCTTTTTTTGTCTTATAAAATGGGCTCCAAAGGATACGAAAGCCCCCACCACAAAGGTAGGGTTAAAGACGTGGTTCTGGAAGGTGAACAGTGCAAGTCCCATGTAGGAGAAGATGAAGTTTTCTGCCAAGAAATTCAGAAGCTCAAACAACTGAAAGAGAAAAACAAATTAAAAGCGAGTTAGACTTAACATAGATTTAACAAGAAAAACATGTTAGCCCATCCATCACACAATAAATACTTCTGCAGAAGCAACCCTAGTAAAATCCATCTGCAGAAAGACAGGTGCACCTAATGCACCTCTCACTAGAGGGAAGGAAAAAATATTGAACTTGAAATTCAGAGAGGCTAAGGGGGGCTGAGGAACTCTCACCTGCTTAGTTCTGTGTTGGGACTCTGTAGATAAGTTGTTATAGGTATAATGGGCCTGCGTGATCCCGCAGAAGAGCACGGCCACCACACCTGGGGAGCAGAGCACCACGTTAGACTCCTGGTCATGAAAAGGGCGCTGATCTGCACCCCAATAATGTAATAACCCCAGAACCCAGATTATTAAACTTCTGAAAGGAGAGGGAGAGCCCCGGCTGCAATCGATACTGGAAGCAAAACTCAACAGGCCCACCATCCCTGCAGATATCTGTCCCAGACAAAGGGCTGTGCTGGAGCTTGCCTGTAAAGCCACACGCTTCGGCCAGCAGGAACGTGCTCCAGGACATCAAGAAGAACAGGCCGGTCTCCAGCAACGGGAACTCCCGAAGTTTGGTGAACTTGGTGACGTTGCAGATGGTTAAGGACAATTTGGAGAGAAACTGTAGGCTAAGAGCATATCAAATTCAGTTGTGTATCACAGCAACACTACACGGCCTGCCCCTAAAAAGGCTATGGCACTGCCTTTCATTAATGTAGGCAAAAAATCATGAAACACTGCATCTGGGTGAGATGCAGTGCAGCAAAAAAAGAAGCTGTTATGCAAACACTTGGAAAAAGACAACAAAAAGGATATTAAAGCTGTCACAACTCCAGTAGCTGCTCCCATTGCAAAAGATCCACTGAATATCCCCAGGAAGATCCCGATGGACTTAAACATCGCTGTGACATCAAATGTGTGGCTGTTGTCGCCCGCCGGCTGGTACGCAACAATTGAGCTGAAAGAGGGAGGAAAAGCACAAACAAGAACAAAACACTCTTAGTCTGGAGGGAGAGGCACCTCCATGGTGCTACGTGAGCTTTGCAAAGTGCTACGACCGCTGCAAACACCGAGCCTGAGAAATCAGGGAGACGAAACCCGAGTCCCACACTGCAATCCCCCCACGTTCACAGCACACAGCAGCAGCGTGCTCGCCCTGTCCCGAGGAGCTTGGGATCCCCTTTGCTCCTGGCCGACTTTCTGGAGCTCAGCCACCCCTCCTAGGCAAGGCTCTGCATTTGCTCCTTCTAGGCATTAGAGAGCATCGGACCAAAGCCCGTCTCCTGCGTGATCTCCTGCAAATACATTTGCTAGGCGACAGACCGTCATTTATGATGGTATTTTGGGGGTTTGGCATCAGCTCTCTATAAAGTCAGGCGCTCTGGGACCACAAAGCATTCAAGTGGGAAGCCTACGTTTCTCCGTCGACTCCACAGAGGCGGCTGATGTGAATATCCTCTGGAGAACTGTAAGTTATGCTGTTTTACCACATTTAACGTGCACTACATTGATTTTGCACTGCTCCGAGTTCTGAAGTGAAATATCGCAGGGTAGCAAGGCAAATGGAACAGTGCCGGTTCACTGCAGCGACGCTATTATCTTCATCCACCAAACTTCAACAGACCTTTGTGATGAGATGGCAAATAGGTCTACTGCGCTGATCCCATCTCTGAATCTGCTCCCTCCTAACTCCTGAGCCTTGCATCAGCCATTCCACTGTTTTACTTGGAAAGGCTGAGATACAGGGGTCCACTATCCATCTCCTAAATCCCATTTTAATGTCAACTTCTTACATCGCTTTCTTCAGTGTAAATTTACAGAAAACATTAACTTCCTAGTTAGCAATCCCTCAGCTGGCTCTGTTAAAACTCTTGGATGTGAACTTTAAACATTTGCTGTTTAACCTCCCGAGTTATGCTGGAACAGAAAGTGACTGCCTCGCGCACATGTCCTGCAGCTTTCTCCTCTAACTGCACACCAACATTTTTCTGCAACACGAATGACAATCCTCCCCTTTCCAACACATCACGGGTCACTTCCCTTGCTAAACTTCCCTGCTTTTAATACATTTCATTTTTCTGCATTGTCTTTTACACTGCAAGCCGCAGATTTCTCCCTGTGATTTAATTTTTTTTGTCAATCCCATCCTCTACTTCCCATTCACCAACATGCTCTTATTCTGGGGTTTGGGTTTGTTTTTTTTTTTAAATCCAGACTGGTTTCGCTTCCCCTCCATAACCAACTGTGTGGATGCCGGTTGTGTGTTTTAACCCATTACAGTTTTCCTTCTGGTTTTGCTTTTTGCATCGCGAACAAGACATCGTTGCCAACAGCCTTCTGTGTGCTTTATTTCCACTGTCCCTGCCCATGGGCCTCCCTGTGGCATTTAGCCCCTGTGAAACCTCCCTTCCGAAGAGGTAGAGGCCCTGCGGCTGCATTTACCCCCCCGCTCATGAACCGCAGCCCCGGCACCTCGCTGCCCACCAGCTTTCAGTTCTGGGTTCAATTCCTCTTCATCTTGCAACCGGTTCCCTGCTGTCAAGCCAGGCCAGGCCAGGATGGCACGAGGCAGGAACAGAAAGGCACGGATTCTGCTCCCCAAGCACGGGAACGGACGTTTGTCCGGGACTGAAAGCAGGGAGGAGAGGAGCCTCAGGGGGCACCGAGCTGCTGGCAGAAACCACGGAGGAGCCCCAGCCCGGGGCAGCACCAGCCCCTGGCTCCTCGCCCTCCCCCGGCGCAGGGACGGTGCCCACAGCGCTCGCTTTCATCATGTGCAAGGAGCCGGCGGGGCTGCTGGGGGCAATCACCGAACCCGCGCACTCGGCCAGCTGCGGCTGGAGTCCCCCTTCACCCCTTGGGGGGAGGCAGCACCCGCCACCAGCTGTCACCCAGGCAGCAGCTCCTCCATCAACACAGCCCGCCCGCCCAGAAACCACCTGGTTCCCCACCTTCCCAACTCACCCCTGCATCTCCTAACCGGGGAGCAGGTCTTCTGCTTGTGGAAGCGGAACCCTCCCCACGCGGTTCCCCCACTTACACCTCTGCTGTGACACAGGCAAACGCCAAACTAAATTTAAAAAAGGGGAACCATAAACAGGAGCTCTGGACTGCTCTCGGAGGAGCTCTCCTCCCTGGAGCAAGAGGCCCTCACCTCCTCCTTGCACCCAAGATGTGGTTGTGCCCAGGTGACTCAAGGCTGTCCTTAGAAACCTGCACCAACCAATACCCATCCTGCTGACCAGGGCTGCCTTACGCTGTTTATGGTGACCGCGAAGACAAAGACCACGGCGAGCTTTAAAATGGGTACGGGCTAACTGCTGAGAAGCCCTTGAGAAGTCAGCATGCTGCTGGGCCAGTCTGCACAAAAGCCTTGCGGCAAAATAACTGCTGACTGCAGCTCGGAGCTGCTGTTTTGGTGCAAATTATCTTATTTCAGGGAAGGGGGGCGGGTTAAACTCGGCTTGTGGCAAGAGGAAGGCAGGAAATCAGAGCAACAGCTACGAAGCTGGTACTGAAACAGCGCAAGAGGCAAATCACCGCGCACGGTGCAGGCACTTATGTGTGCGGAGATCCACCACAAATGTCATTACTCTGATGCTGAACCCATCCACTCCCACCCAGAACCTCCCAGCAGAGGCTGGAAGACCCCGTCTCCTCCCCACTCAGGATCACTTCTTAAACACGACCTGGCTGTGCAGCATCTACTCTTGCACCAGCGGCGACACATCCAGCATAAAAGCCAGAGCAAGCAATGCAACCAGTTCCAGAAACATCAACAGAAACAGTCAATTCCGTAAATACAACTCATGCGGGTGGCGATACCCAGCTTACAATATGTTACTTGCTGCTTCCACCTCAGCAAAACCCACGCAACCAGCACGCCGGAGTGACAAGTATTCCAGAAATATTTTCTGCATTAGTCTTAGCTATACATTAACCTGTCACTGTTGCAGATATTATATATTTCCAAACAAATTCCCATGATGACAACACAGTGAAAACCCAGATAAAATATGTCCTACGTGCAGAGGACATAAAATATTAAAGAATATAAAACATTCTTTAGAAAGCCAGCAACTTTCCCATGTGTTCAGTCCAGGGTATCAACTCCAGCTGTAAGAAATACCATCTTCTTGATGCACGGAAAGTGGGGAGAGAAAGGAAACAGCTGTTTTACCAACTATTTCCACCTAAACAAAAGCAGGTATTTGTGGATGGGAAGAAAGACAGGCAGGAGCAAAGCCATCAGTAAGGGGTTTCAGTGGGATCCTGTGGCTGAAAAACAGACACGATGCTTTTCTCACTTCAGAGGGACATAAAAACTTCCTTCTGGCTGGGTCAACCAGCCATAAAAGCAAAACAAAACTATCCATCATGCAGGGGGAAGCTGTAAGGACAACCCACAATCCTAAGCTGTGGTCTGCAATGAGGAGATGCATCAGAAGGTCACTACAGCTTTTGGGGACGCTTAATATGGAAATCTCCTCTTGCAAACACCGATGCTCCTATTTTACAGGAGCAAGGCCGAGTGGCTCCCCCCAACACCCGACATGTAACATACATAACAATTAAAAATAAAAACAGAACACACTTACGAAGACAGCACTATGGCAACGGCATCATTGAGGACGCTTTCGCCAAAGAGAAGGGCATACAGCTCAACATCAACCTGGAGTTCATGGAATATGGCAAGAACAGTCACTGACAAATAGAAAAATAGAGAGACATTCAAAAAGGTGCTGTTATTTCGGTGTAATCAAAGACAAAACGCCCCTTTTTAGAAATCTGCCTTCCCGCATGTCTGCGCCACTCTGCTGCGATGGTGCCAGCCGCCCTCCGTGCTCACTTTGATAGTCTTCCTTCTGCCCTTTCAGATTTGGATTTGCTTTATCATTTCCCTCGTCCCTCTTTTACTAAAACACATCCTGGGCATTAGGTCTATTAAGTCTTTCGCTGGCAGACATGAGCAAACTCTGCTCTGAGCTTCCTGAGGGTCTGAGCTCGTGGGCTGGACCACGGTACCATGCTGACATGAGCCACCCAGCTTTTGGGATGCCATTAGCTCGGAGCATCAGGGAGAGCCTTCCTCCACCTGCAAAAGGCCAGGAGGATGCGGGCTTGTCCAGGACGATGGCTGTCTTTTCCTTCCATCCCTGATACTCCAAGAGAAATCCTCAAATTCAGTGCAGGTTGACACACTGGAAGTGCCAGCACAGATGTGTTAACATTTCAAACCTAACTGGAAGAAGCCAGCTCAAGCCCCATGTGGGGGTTTCTTGTGATTTACGGCCACGCAGCAGAGATCGGAGTACCCTCAAGTCCTTCCGCAATCCGGCGGCTCCAAGAAGATAATGAAAACGCAGCAGGTTTTATGTAGCAGCCTTGCAAAAACATCACAACATCTAAAGCAAGCAAGATGTAACCCGTGGTGCGTCATGCACAGCTCAGGCTGCTGCGGAGGGCTGAGCTAATTCCAATCAACTTCTGTGGAAGTCCTTTAAAACAGCAATCAGGGACTCATCTGTGCACACTGAAGGGGGTTTAACCCATTTATGCACAAGGAAACGCTCCATTTTTACCTGTGAAATCTTCTTGTTCCTATTTCAAAGCCTGAAGAAGAGGCGCAACGCCAACAGCTCATCCACAGCATTTCTAAGCATTACTTCTACCTACAGTCCTTGCCTGGCCTCTGCCCATCTGTCATCAGATCTACCACACCGCCATCATGTCTGTGAGGTGCTGCCCACTTTGCAAACGTGCCCCCTTCTCGATGTCGACACCCCGGCTAAGTTACGGGCAGGATGCTCCACCTCGCAGCCCCATGGGAAGAGCCCCCCGCTAAAGGAATCGGTGGCCTGAATGCATGCCCACCCAAGACACGTTTGGAGAAGCTGGGAAATCATTTTACCTTATTTTCTAAGCTTTTTTTTTTTTAAATAAAAATATCAGCAGTAACAGCCACACCAATACCTGGCAAATCTTAGGCAAACATAAAAAATTATTAAAAACTCATGGGGAATGCACATCTTGCATCTCCACCTGGCAGACAGATGTGGCTACTGCCACGTTATGCTGCAGGTTATGTTCTGCAGCGTTACTCTTGCATATATGCATATACATACAATGCTCCTGATTTTGCCTTTGAAAACAGAAATGACTCATTGTCAAGATGAGCAGGTAAAAGTCCCAATTCATCTGGAAACAACAGCCACTGGCACTTGTTTCAAAAGGGCAGAAGAGTTGGCTTATTCAGGCGTGCAATCTCTCCCTTCCATGCAAAACTGACCAATATCTGCATTTAAAAAGATCCCCCAAAGCTTCTGTAATGTCGGGAGGGGGGACAATGCTGCCGACCCCCAGTCCCACCACGCTGGTCTCAAACGTAGCAGCCAGGCTGCAAAGGAGGAAATTCAAGCCCTGTTCAGCAAGGGCAGGAAGAAGGAGAGGCCTTTCTGTGGTCCTGTGTTTTTAGGCGAAGCTGGAACATGCAAATAAACAGCTACTGTGTAAAAGTGTTCATGAATGAAGTGAAATTCAGTTGGACAAGGCAAGTTTTTCATAGTGCTTCAGCAGACATTCATTTACAAAGTGCTTCAGCAGACCAAGCTGTCACTACTGTCCCCAGTACTGCTCATGAAGATCAACTTTCAATTAGATTAGCACCTTCCAAAATCCCACCCAAATGGAAGCGGAAGGAAATCAGCTAAACTAACTAAAACTATCAGCTGAACCCTCCCCACATTACACATCTTGTTCTGCATCAGCCGTTGGCACAGGATGGCAGAAGCACAGTGGACCTGTCCCAAAACCCAGAGAAGTCAAGAGACAGACTGCTAGGACTTCACTGCAAACAAAGATTTAGGAAGCAGAGGTTTGGAAGGTATATTACATGTAACTGGAAGGAAAAAAGAAGCCATGGAGACAATTTGACCTCTAGGAATGTTGCAAATAAACTCTAAAATTCAGAAAGAGGGAACTTCCACAGGGTTCAGACTTTCTTCCCCTCTTCACCACAACTCAAAACAGATCAAATAGGTAAAATGAGGGGGAAAATAACCATCTAACATACCTGGGTCAGTAGCCGATACGATGGCACCGAACAGGAGGCAGTCAGTGAAGTAGAAGTCTCCCCCGAGCTGCCCAGTGACTTTCATCAGCGCCACGCAGCCATACACGACAGAGCTGGTGATTAGAAGAGGCAATTACTCATCTCTGCAGTGAATGAAAATGACATTCAAATGGGCTCGATTCCCCTGAATTCACCAGATTAACCCCTGAAGTTATCCGAACGCCAGAACACCGAAGAACTGTACTGGATGAGCTGAGCCTGGTGAAACCCCAGTGCCATGGTCTCGGAGGCAAGTGCCAGACCACACACACCAAAGCACCCGCCGCACTAGACCACAAACACGGCACCGGTGAGGAACCGGGACCGAAACTCCTCCATGAGCATAACACAACCAAAGAAAAGCAGCAGCCAGGCTCGCGGGGTCTCGCAATCATTTTGCAGCGTTTCACATTAACACGTTCCAGTGGGATGACCTTGGCCTGACTTTGAAATGGCCGAAACTTTCAGCGAGGAACAGATAATGCAGATGCTGAGTTTGCTTGAATCCACCGGACTCTCCAGTGGAAAACACCCTGCGCCAGCCTGTGTGTTACTGTTCAGAACAGGAATCATCTAGCTCCCTCTGCACACAGGGATAAATATCTGAAACACAATCCGTGCTCGCTAGGCACCTGCTTCCAGCAAGTAAGGACAGGACATGCGTTTATGCTCCTGCCCCTCCTGTGTCTCACGCTTGTTAGGGCTGTGCTTTCAAATAACTTGAAGTTACTGCCTGTTTTTTCAAGACAATCTTCAGAGAAGTGTGAAACTTTCCTTGCCGTGTATATAACTATTCTGTATGGCATGCTGAGAAAGCACTATGCAATTAGACGGCAATCACCCTGTCCACACAGTGAAAGTTTGGACAGTAAATAGTATTATTTGCCGCTGCTGAGCAGCGGTAGCAGAGAGCCTGTGTGATCTTTCAGGGCTGGGATTAGCAGCGGCAGAACCGGGCTCAGAGCACTGCCTCCGAGCACGGCTCAAACCCCCACGGAAGAACCAGACCAGCTCCAACTACTCACCCGATCACCAGGCAGGAAATTGCAGTGCCGAGAAAAGCGTATGCTAGGATGGATCCCAAGTTTCTGAAAAAGTGCCTCTAGAAGGAGGAGAAAAAAAAACAACTGAATTATATTTTGCTAACAATTTATTTCAAGCCTGCACAGGCACCCACGCAATGTCTGTAGCAGCTTGCACCTAGCTCAAATGCCACAAGCTGGACAAGCACGGCAGAACGGTGCCCAGCACAACGGTGTACACCGCCAGACCAGCAGATGTTAATGCAGCATTGATAAACACGAACATGTCATTTTCTTGTACCCATGTTATTTAATAAGGTGCTGTTCCAAGCCCTGGGAACTGATTTCCTGACCCAGCAGCATTCCTCCTTCCTTCTCCCGCAAGCTAAACAGGATCATTTTCCTCTCCCTCCGAATCAGCACTTCAGAGAGCTGCTGCTTTCTAAAACCTTCCCACCCTCCTACGTGTTTTGAAAGTAAGGATGGCTGAAATGGCCCAGCTGGCCTCAAAAACCCCTGTGCAAACCCATGCTAGAAACGGTTGAAGTCGCTGACCCTTCCTGGGGCAGAGGGACGGACGAGACCGATTGGGGCACTCTCTCAGCCCTGCTTCCTACAATCCTGCATGTAGTGGGGAAAACCATACTCAGCTCCGCAGCCTTGGCCTGCTGAGCAAGCATTAAAGCACTCTCAAGTATTAAAAATGCTCTGGAGGCAGAGGAACTAAAAACGTAGGCACTGTAAAGGCACGTACCCTTTTCAAGCTGTAGCCTGCATAAAATATAATTGGAGGAAGCAAAATGTTGAAAAATACTTCAGGATCAAAAGTAACCTGTTAAGAAAAAAAAAAAACACAACAGTAAAATGGTTTGTTAAGACTTTGCAAGACAAAACACAAATAAGAATGTCATATAAAATATATGGAAGAAAGCCTGTACCCCTGCCAGATGACATGCTGTCGGGTGAACACTGAGGATGTGTCCAGGATCTCGGGGAGACACAGCTTAGAGTCTAAACAGCTTAAATTAATATCAGCTGAAACTAGAGTTTCATTACATTGTGTTCAACTTATAATTTATAGCTGATCACAATCTGATCGAAGTTAAAAAAAAAAAAAAAACCAAAAAACACTTAATCCAACAGATACAGGACCCGTCCCCGTGGAGGTAGTGGGGCGCATCGCTCACCTCTCCAATCACCGACTCCCTTACCTTTCTCAGCATCTCATTATCCTGGACGTTATTGAGCTCCTGGGAGCTGATTTCCCCCTTCAGGGTGTACTCGTAGTACTTTCCGCTGACATTCACCAGCAGCGTGGTGGGACTGGTCTGCACTTGGCAGCTCAGCGTCACGTTGTTGACGTCGCTGGGGACATGGATGCCGTAGCGCAGGACCACGCCGACCAGGACCCCTGAGGAGGGACACGCATCGGTGAGACGAGCCACGGCAAACTCCCAGGATGATCTCTTTGAGCACGGATGCAGCATTCAGGCATGCCAGGATCCTGACTCTCTGCTCAGCTGCTGAGCACAACCACCATCCAAATAATTGCTTGAGTGGTATTAAACCATCCGCATCCTCCCATGAGCCATGCAAATGCTCTGTGCTCATGAGGACTTTCTAACATCAGGCATGGACTGGTCCTGAAGGCTTTCAGTTACCCAGCTATCGGTCAGACCCTCGCTCTAGTGCAGCAAACAGCTGACAATGAGGGCACGCTGGTTTTCTTAGGGCGAGCACCCCGGCATTGCTGGCACATAGCTGAGGACCTGGGCAAGGAGCTGCTCACGTGTGCCCAAAGTACGCACGTTGCACCTGGAAACCTGACGACATCATGTTTTGCTGCTACAGAAATATATTAAACCCTTCATTTTTGTCGGGGATCAAAAAAGGTACCAAGCAACCATCACGAACGCTTTAAGGATGGCGAACATCCTTCATAAGATGCTGCAGCACCATACAGCCTCCTCCCTCACTAGGGAGCTTTCGCAGCACACAGCAGCAATCCCCATTTTATAAAAATCATGAAAGTTTCCCAGTCCAGGCCAACCACCCGGGTCTGCTCCTCGCCCCCGGCAAGCTTCCGCTCTGCACCACGAGCAGCAGCCCCAGGGCAGCCCCGTGAGCCAACTCTGCCTCTGGCTCAGCTGCTGCGCAGGAGTATCGTGGGGTTAATTTGCAAGTCAGCAATTTATATGGCACTTTTCGTTTGCAGCACAGCTGATGAGCTGTGCTCTGAGGTCTCCCATCCAGATTAATGGCGTTCACACGGTGCAGGCTCCTCCGGCTCCTTCTCATCCGCACGGTGTGCCGAGTGCTCTCCTGGCAGAGCTTTTTGACATCTGCAGGCTGGGGAGAAGGGATGTCCCACAAGACACCTTTCCACATAGCCTTCAGCACAAAAGGGATTGGAAACTCCTCGATTAAGGCAGCGCTGAGCCACCACAGAAATCCTGGATCTTAACCCCATCTCTGAACCACACATTTATGAAAAGCTTTCAGACACGTGGGAACTAAATGGAGACTGCAACACTCGGAAGGCTTCTCCATTTGCCTCCCAGGACGCTCCTGCTTCTTTACTGTTGCCTTAATTAAGATGCTGCTCTGTGCTTTCCTACAGGCATGGCACAGCCCCGACTGAAGGGAACACCAAACTCTTCCTCCACCACCGTCTCACGGGAGCAGAGCCTGGGCAGGAGCTCTGCCGCAGCTGAGCGGGAGACGGCAGGACCCCGGCGCATACAGCGTCCCCTGCAGCCAATTCCCAATCTGCTGCCCATTTTTTGCCTTCTCTTCCCTTGAAAGCAGTTTTCCAGAACGAGCTTTGCTCATTTTGCCGACAGCCAGAAGAAAAGCCCCCACCTCCCGTCCCAGGGGATGTCAAGCACAGCAGGACCACACAAGCACACACCCAGGCCATGAGCAGAGGCAGAAGAATCGGCTGCAAACAGACTCACTGCTGCTAACCCATCACACCAGTGACACAGATGGCTCATCTGACAGACTCGGGACCTGCACCCAAAACCCAGTCCTTGGTCAAATACAGCACTTCTGCAGCACAGCTGTGCCGCTCTCACAAAGCTACCGATGCTTTTAAGCCATGTACAGTTGACCATGTGCTCACCACATGCTTTGGGCTTTATCCTGCACTGCACCGTTGGCACAGAATCGCCCCGACAGCAGCAGAAAAGGTCCCTCTCAGTGCACAACCGGGCACGGTCAGCTCCAGCAAGGAGAGCTGCTTCAGGGAACGTCACACTGTGCAGAGCATCTGAGAGCTGCTTTCACACCAGCATCACTAAGAGGGGACACCAAAGAGGAATCCTTTCGCTTACTTTTCTGTTCGCCTCTTTGTTCCTGTGATCTTTCAGTGCTCCAGAAATAAAAGTATGGAAATGAAGGCAAGGATGTCAAGAACGTTGAGATGCCACAGCACATATTGAGCATGTGGCAGGGGGGTGCATGGCACCACAGCATCGGGACGAAACACCCAGGTTTCCTTTCACCCAGAAGACGATGACTCCTAAGGTACCATGTTAGACAACCAAAACTCTTCACTGGGATAAAGCAAGCTTCAGAGGGCTATTTACATCTGCTTATGACTATTAAGCAGCTTTGAACAGTTACAGTGAGAATTCAAATGAAAGGGAGGAAAGCCAGACTGGAGAGCCTATTTACCCTCTACCCTTGCAACTGCTCCTCCTCTCATACGGAGCAGGCAGCACCAGGTACACCGCGTTCTGCAGCCCTCCAGAGCTACCTGGGGTGACTTTTAAAAAGTCTTTTTTTTAAAAGAAGTTGATTTTAGAGCTTCACGCAGGAGTCAGAGACCTCCAGCAGCAGCAGCTGCCTGTCTTTTCTCAGCTGGAAACCCATCCAGCGATCCCTTTAAATGCCCAGGCTCAGCGCTTTGCAATGAGGGGCAGGAGGAATGGACAGACATCGCTGCTGGGAATTCAGAAAGGATCCTGACTCACCCGCCTCTCCACTCTTAATCCCCCTCCCAAAGCAGTGTTACATCTGATAGCACCCCTGCTCGTCCTCGCCGTCTCGCTCACCCGGGCAGCTGTTCCTGGACCCGCGTGCCGGCCGCAGCCGAAGTCTCACTCTGGCCAGGAATAGGAGAAGCAAAAAGGGACGTATAAATCTACAAATCTGCCAAGACCTCTGTGCTTGGGCCTCCAAAAATCAGGCATTTTATCTTGCCCTGTAACGTGCTGCCTGGGAGGCTCCCAGAGCTCTCTGGACCTGGGTGGGAAAAGACACCCACGTGCAAATACACAGCCGCACAAAGAGCTCTTGGTGTGCAAACCAGGCGCCAGCGGCTCCCGACACAGAGATACCATCAGAGTTACTTACAGGGAAAGCATGCTGCCGCTCTGCTTAAAGCCAATTACTCTGCCAACATTAAGATGACCCCACCACCAGCCCCTCCTGCCCAACGGTGGATCTCCAATCAACCCTCCCCACCTTACTACGCTCGCTGGAGGCACCTGGGACAAACCCGACTCGGATGCCAAGTTTTTTCAGACACCAAACCCAGTCCTGGGCTCAGGCTGCCTGGACCAAGCCCAGGGGACCATGTAGGTCCTCCTGGTTCTGACCAGGAGTCAGTCCAGTCTCTTAGGAAATGGTTCAAACTCTTGGCGCTTGAAGGGCCGTCCTAGCAGCAACCCGTGAGCCGCTCTGCCAGCATCGACATGCTTTTGCAGCCAAAAGTTGTACAAAACTGAGCCCTGGGAGGGAGCAGAGCAGAAGGAACCGGACACCAAGGGAGCTGCCAGCCGAAAGCTGCAAGGAGTAGAGAAGCTAAAGGCGAAGCTGGTAAATTAATTGAGTTCTTTTATGCAAAGTGCAAGAGATTGTTTTCATTGCATTTCTCCCAACTTCATTAAAAAGAACAAAAGCCCATGGGCTTTTTTTTTTTTTCAAGTGCTGTTGAACATTTCCGAGGTAAGGTTTTAAATGAAGACTAATATATTACCATTCAGGCACTTAACAACAATGGAAGCACACAGGCTCCCCAGGCGAGCATTAATCTGGACACCAAAAGGAAAGAAAAATGTAGCGAGCAACTGAAGACATCCTGACAACAAGCAATTTAGACGTACGCAATCCAGGGGCCAAGTGGGAACAAGTACAAGGAAACTAAAATTCTAGAGAAGCTCCTGCCACATCCACCATCAGACCCCAAGAAGAACTGAAACAAAATTGTTCAATTAATCATCCTAAATGTTGGCTACCTCAGATGTGGGAACCTCATTTTAATGAGGTTTTAACCTTCACTGAAATGAAGCTTAGAGGCTACTAAACACCTATTGTCTATCACCATGAAATGACTCCAGCCTGTGCCCAGCTCTTGAATATCAGCTCTGAGCCGACAGCGGGATTTGTAAGATACAAATCCACCTGGAGCAAGAGCTTATAACTTCCAGTAAAAACACAGACACCGAGGAAACTTTGATGTATTTCAGCAAGAAGAGGTGTATGCAAAAGTTTTATTTGACTTAGTTGTTGGGTTTTTTTTTTAATTAGAAAAAGACGAGCTTTTACAAATTGCTTCTCTTGCCCAGATTTCAGGGTCTGTTTTGCAGCCTGCCTGCTGCAGCACTTCCACATTTTCAGCGGACTTCCCCGAGGCTGAAAGCATCGCAGGGGCTGAAAGCATCGCAGGGGCTGAAAGCATCGCAGGGGGCTGGGGACAGCGAAGCAGAAGCGGTACCTGCTTTGCTCCCTGCAGCTTTTAAGTTGTCGCTGTAAAACAACAGCATCTCACCACTCCTTGGGAAATTACACATCCCTTTTCCTATGGCAGCTGTCACAACCTGAGAAGCAAATACCAAAAGCCTTGACAGCAGGGAAAAACTCGGGATTTTCTGCGTGACCAGATGGGTGACGTTACCAATTTCGCCAGCAATTCTCTAAGCACAGTCTGCAAAAGAGCAGACAGAAAAGATGCGTTTTACGGGTCGGCAGGAGACCGAAACGACCCGGGTCATCCTCTGAGAACAAGGGCAGCACTCAGGTGGGTCAGGGAGAACAGAGGACCAAGAGGAAGAAAACTCCAGGAGAAGAACAAGGTTAAGGGCAAGTTTGAAAGCATGAAGGGAATAAAAAGTCCACGTGTCGGTGAGCTCTGGGGCAGCGGCAGGAAGACCTTCCGTGCTGGAAGCACGTGCTCCACAGCACAGCTCCCGTCCCAGGGAGGTGACCACCCCTGCCCCGGGCAGGAGGCCAGCAATGCCTGCACCTGCCTCAGCGGTGGCTTGCAGGAATCTGAAAAGGCAGATCAGTATTTTGTGCCTCTGGGCTGACGCAAGTGTCTCCACCCCTTCACTTGGAAGGACACTTCCGATTAACTGAAACTTAGGATCACAAAAGCCAACGGCCCAAACGGGTCAAGTCACAGCCCTCAGAGCAAAGCTTTCTGCTGGGCAGGGGACTCGGCCACGTTGCTGCTCTGACCAAGCTTGGTCACGCATCACCCACAACCAGCAAGGGCAAGGACAGCACAGAGAAGAGACGCTAACCACAGCACTCAGCAGAAGACACCTTTTCAATTCTAAACTCAACAAATCTTGTCTAGATAAGGATCCGTGGCCACGTTAATCACTCCCCCGGCACAACTCCCAGTCCTGCTTTGGTTGAACTCCAAGTCATGCTAGATAACCTGGGCAGAGCCATGTATGGCGTCCTCATACAATGGTTCAGGCCACTTCACGAGGCCACATCACCTCAGTAAATCACAGGCCACCGTTAAAATCCAACCAGCTACAGACCCGCTCCCCTGACCCACGGCCTCACTCCACTTCTTGTGGGAACATATGTGGGGCATCTCACCAAGAGGTCCTGTCACAGCGGGAGGAGGAACCCCAAAAGTAGGAGCTCGTGTGCACAGGTCCCCGAGCAGCAGGATGTAAGGCTACTGGCCCTGCAGGTCCCTGAGCACGGCAAAGGGTGGGAGCATCTCCCCAAACGGCCTCTCCGCTCTTCTTGGACAGCTTCTGGAAATTCAGGTGCCCTAAACATAGGGTGGAAACAACCTCTGGCCCCAGCGTGCAGGATGCAAGGCTCCTGACCAGTGCAAAGCCTGGTCTATGCTGCCCCAAGTCCCCACTCTCAGCCCTGCAGCAGGTAAGCGGGGCTTGCTGGTGCTCGGTGACATGGTTTCGAGGCCGCTTGGCATGTGGTAGCCCCCGACCCCGCCAGCTTCACCCGTGCTGCAGCCGCCCTGCAAGGCTGCCTGGGAAAACCCAACCAGTTCCTCACTGCCGGAGACTTCTGAGTAACGCTGCCCTCAGTATCTAGGGTTTGGAAA